AACCTTGGCCAGATCTGTGCCTTGCCACAATTCTGTCTCTGAGCTCTTCAGGCAGTTCCTTTGACCTCATGATTCTCATTTGCTCTGACATGCACTGTGAGCTGTAAGGTCTTATATAGACAGGTGTGTGGCTTTCCTAATCAAGTCCAATCAGTATAATCAAACACAGCTGGACTCAAATGAAGGTGTAGAACCATCTCAAGGATGATCAGAAGAAATGGACAGCACCTGAGTTAAATATATGAGTGTCACAGCAAAGGGTCTGAATACTTAGGACCATGTGATATTTCAGTTTTTCTTTTTTAATAAATCTGCAAAAATGTCAACAATTCTGTGTTTTTCTGTCAATATGGGGTGCTGTGTGTACATTAATGAGGAAAAAAAATTAACTTAAATGATTTTAGCAAATGGCTGCAATATAAAAAGAGTGAAAAATTGAAGGGGGTCTGAATACTTTCCGTACCCACTGTATATTTAGCAAAATGCATCTTTCTAGAGCTCTTATTTTCATGGAAATTGACACAATTTGAAATCTTTGTTTCATATCAAAAGTGACAAAACTCAAAGCTCACTGCGATTATTGGATGGCAGGTGCTACAAATAATATTCGTGAAGTTCTTTTCATCAACGGAAAACAGCACAGACTAAAAGATCGATCTCGGAATTTAAGAATACATACAGTTGCATCAAAATGAATATTGATTAACTGATATTGTCAGAGATAATAACCCAAAACGACGACATCACAATGGACAGAATGAATCTGTGGCCCTCAGAAGCAGATATTGACCATCACACGGACATGGAAGTGCTCCACGTGTTTTCATACTTGTTTGCACTAATTGACCCATGGGTGTTTATCTTGGGAAAAGTGTGTGTGTGCTGCAGTCTGACTCCAGCTCTGCAAACGCTGTCATCCATATGCAACCAGAAATATGAAAAAAAATTCAAAAATTCTACATTCTAAATGCAGTGTGACGCATTTGTTCTCCTGGTGCTGTAGGAGTTCAAGAGCTCCGGCTCGGCTAACACAGAGACCAGCAAGGTAGCAGGAACGCTGGAGACCAAGTACAAGTGGGCAGAACACGGCCTGACCTTCACTGAGAAGTGGAACACTGACAACACTCTGGGCACGGAGATCACTCTGGAGGACCAGGTACCAGACCCAGAAAACTGAGCTCCACTTGATTGGATATGAATTACATTCTCCTCATTTAACACGAATGCTGCTTTCTTCTCCTCAGCTGGCTAAAGGGCTGAAGTTGACGTTTGATTCCTCCTTCTCTCCGAACACTGGGTATGTCTGTGCTCTAGTATACTCGATGCCACTGTATTGACGTTTGGCATTTCCAGTATGGATGTAATATATAAAGGGAGGAATGTATTAGTTTTTGTTGTGAGTCTAAATTAGAACTGCACAATTTGTAGAATTGCAATTTATTAGTATTTTTTTTTTTTTTGTAATTTTGCCAACATTTTATAATATGCTGTAGGATTTACAGCAGCAATAATAATAATAACAATAATAATAATAATCATTTATTTATTTGTAATAAATACAAATTTAAAAACTACTCAAAATAAATGTTACTCTTGTAATTGACAATTGCAATTTATTATTATTATTTTTTTTATTTTACATTTTTTATTTATTTTATTCTCCTGATAAAAATTGCAATTGCGATTTTAAAATGCAATTAAATTTTTTTTTTGCAGGGATTCACAATTTGGCCAAGATTTTGTGGTTTGCTTTAGGATTATTATATGAAGATGATGATGATAATTCTAATAATGAAAATGATTATTATTTATTTACTAAATAAAAAAAAATAAAAAAAATGACAAAAAAATGAAATGAGAAATATTACTTGGTAGTAGTGGTGTTATTATTGCTAAAAAAAAAAAGAAATATATATATATATATGAAAAAATATTACTATTGTAATATTTCACTGTAAAAAAAAAAAATAGTATTTAATAGAAAAGATGGCATGATTTTGTAAAATGACTAATATCTTAGTATTGTCTTAATTTCTTCATTTTATAGCTAAACCACCAAACATTATTTTTACAGTAAACCGCCGGAGCCCTTAAAGCCTCTCTTTCATTGATAAGCGCCTCTCATTAGAAGAAGATTGGTGCATGTTTAGTTTCCAAATGCATGTTAAAGCGACTCGGACTCAGCAGATGGAGTTCATGTGGATCATTTACATTGAACTGAGACACTGAAAACACTGCGGATCATGAGCTGCTGATGTGTAAATAAAAACAGTGCTGCGCTTCACTCAGAAATACACGTGTATGATTTGATAATCACACTAAGCCATATCACGTTTTCGGTTTTCTTTTGATTAGTCGTGCAGCTCTAGTTAAACAAGCGCTGTATTAACACTGTATCAGTTGATAACAGACTTGCATTCAGTGTTGTGGTTTTTGCATTGCACACTGAGTCCGAAATTTTCGCACGTTGAAAAATAAATACGACCTCACGTTGTGTCAATCCCATTTACACACTGCCTCCGAAACTTTCGTCCATCATAAAAAAATTCGGATCAGGTTCGATTTTCTGCGTTTTTCGCATCCGTAGTAAGCATTTTAAGAGCTGTTCTGACAATTCAGAGCCACCGTGCAAGCAAACGCCAAAATCCAGAATGGCGATTGTCAAGTTGATTGCCTTCGTCTCGCAGCACAGAGCACCGTAAAAATCCTAGCACACCGAGTTCACAGAAATTGGTGGTCTTCTTTTTTTTTTATGTGTGGCTCTAGTATTGCTAGTAAACTTTGAATCACCCGTGATAATCCCGCTGCTCCTTGATAAGGAGGGGAACTCTCCGTCCTCTCTATATCTCAGGATTGGATGCACCCAATATTTCTAGAGGACAACAAAATCATCCTCACTGCTTGAAGACTCCATTTAGTACTGTTTTGAGAATTATTTTCGCAACGGATTAATACGCATCGGACTCAGTGTGCAAGGTTTCTGTGTGTGGTGAATTTTTAGGATGACGAATACTTTCGGACTCGGTGTGCACTGACCTAAACTCAGCACAGTTTCCTCTGACGTTTCGCTGGCTTCTCTCCCAACTTCCCAAAGCAAGAAGAGCGGAAAGATCAAGAGCGGCTACCAGCACGAGCACATCAACCTGGGCTGTGACGTAGACTATGACATCAATGGCACCGCGGTGCATGGAGCCGTGGTCGTGGGCTTCGAGGGCTGGCTGGCCGGGTACCAGATGACTTTCGAGGCTGGGAGGAACCGGGTCACCCAGAGCAACTTCGCGGTGGGCTACAAGACCGACGAGTTCCAGCTCCACACAAACGTGTATGTACCAAATGCAATATCGTCAGACCTACGCTAGCGAGTTAGAAAGGTGGGTTATTTATATATGCATTTATTCCCTGGCGATTGGATTTGTGAAGGGCTTTGCAGCAGGAAGCGGCCCGCTGGTGTCTGGAGCTTGTTTATGTCATTGAAGCTCAAAATTAGTTGTGTGCAGTTGTGTTTAGGGCTGTGTATAACACACTCACTGCAGCCTTTTTCATTAAAATATAGTAAAAAAAATTTTTTTTTCAATCAAATTAATTAAAGCAATAATCAACATTTGTCTTTTAGCAAAATAGTAAATTGCAGTTTTATATTCTTACGCTAAAAACATTTTATATAGGATTTGGTAGAAATGGCAAGACAGACATTGAATTAAACATGCTTTTTTATGAAGTAGTGTTTTCTTGTAAAAATACTGCAACCCTACTCTGCATAAAAATACCTAACCCTAACATCAAAAAATTATTTTTATACTGTATGCATGGTTTATGTGGGTCTTGGAAGTCATAATTAACTCTTCCACAAATGAAGGCCTTAAAAAGGTCTCAAGATGGAACAGAAAGTCTTAAATTCATAAAGTCTTGGCATTAAATGTTGCATGCACTACAAAAAAAAATGAGAACCTTTCTCACTGGTTGTCTTCCAACAAATATCTAAACATCCTGAAAGGCATCTCCTTCGAGACCCTCTTTCCCGTTTAACCCAGACGCTTGACCTCTGACCCACTTTCTGTACAGTCTGAATTTCTGAATTTTGAGTTTTAGAATTTTGCATTTTGAATTTTAGAATGTTGAGTTTGGTGTTCCAAATTTCTTCATCTTGAAAACTTGAAGCCTATTGTTAAAAACTGGATACTTGCAATCTAAGAATTCAGAACAAAAATCTGCTATTTGAAACAACATATCTATAAAATTGCCATAAAACGTCCTACTTTTATTTGAGATGCAAACTAAAGATATGAGGTCTTGTTTTCTGAGACTCTGAACAAACTTAAGTGATATATATATCTGTCAGTGTGGAAACCCTGTCTATGTTTTTCCCTTTTGCGGATTAAAATGGAAATATCCTTAGGAATCGAAGTATAGTCAAAATGTTGTTTTGCTGTTATGTGATTTAGTGAAATTCATTGTTCAAAACAAATGATCACCTAGAGAAATTTCTGTGTACTTTATGCATTCCAGAGCATTTTATTGATCTAAATGATGTGTTTTCAAATCGCAGGAATGATGGAACAGAATTCGGTGGCTCCATTTACCAGAAAGTGAACGATAACCTGGAGACGGCGGTCAACCTGGCCTGGACCGCCGGCAACAGCAACACCCGCTTTGGCATCGCGGCCAAGTATCAGATCGATGCCGATGCTTCCTTCTCGGTACGTGTGAAGTTAGCATTGCCACTTTTAGTTTTTTTTTTTTTTTGCAACATTTTTCACTGATCAAGGCAGTCATTTTTTGGCACCTCCTGGCATAATGATAACCGGTTACACCAAACCTTTATATTTGTACATATGAAACTAACAACAGTGTCGACGAATGTTCAGAATTGAACCCTAAATTCAAGATGTGAGGGTAAAAAAAATGCCCTATGTAAGTGCTAACACTTTCCATGAAACCAGTATTTATTATACATTATAAGGGTATTCTTAATGCATGCATAATGCCTTATAACATGTTGTATCATCTGATAAATAATCATTGCAGCAATTACAATGTAACATTATAATACGTACCTATTTGTGATGCATTGTAACATGACGCACAATAATATGATGCATTGTAACACTAGGTAAAGCCTGCCTTTATAATGCATCATAAATTGCACAATAATAAAAAAACCTTGTAATGTGTCGTCATCTCATGAATAATCATAACAACAGTAATACATGTAATGCACATTTAAACAGAATCCGATTCAGATTGCAACATTTAGGGTTCATTTAAGCAGAACTTTCAGAATCTGAAATTGGATTGGATTCATCCCGATTAGCACATCAATGCCCGTAAACATACCTAGTGTGAATGTAGCCTAAAAATGACAAGAGTCTGGATGAGAGGATGTGAAGCATGCTCTGTTATGAAAGGCCTGGTCTTTTCATGATGTTCAGCTGCTCATCAAATATAAGCCCATGCTATCTGAAGGAGCTGCATTCTAGTGCTGTTATATTTGTTTTCAGTGACTTTTGCAGTCAAACATGTTTTGTCTGTCTTACAGGCCAAAGTGAATAACTCTAGCCTCATCGGCCTGGGATATACTCAGACCTTGAAGCCTGGTGAGTATGTGTAGATGTGAGTTTATTAAACCTGTTGCAAATGCCTATTCCTCTGCTCCTGGACGACCGCTATTCTGCAGAGTTTAGCTGAACCCACCTCGTGGATTGCTGACAATCTTACAATAACAATTAGGGATGCACGATATTGGATTTTTGCAAATATCCGATATGCCGATATTTTTCATTTTGGCCGATAGCCGATGCAGATACCAATATATTTACTGTTACTGTTGACTCTATCACACACCAAACGCGTCATTCTGTACATGCTTTCTCAGTTTAAATGCAGCGATCCAAAACAGAGAATCTAATCATCATTCAGGCAAAACTTTGCTTCAAGAATGAGCCACACTGTTGACGTGATCTAATCGCTAGCACACCCTGAGCACATGTGAGTTAATGTATTCCTCTTATCGGCAAGACATATCGGCATAATTTTTCATATCAGGCCGATGCCGATATTTACATTTAAAGCCATTATCGGCCGATTCCAATATTGGTCCGATAATATCGTGCATCCCTAGTTACAATTGCATATTACATTGCAAAAATGGCAGAATATTCACTTGGAATTGCTATCACGCCGCAAAAGGTGGCAGTTGCATTTTAGACCATGCATTACCGGTCTATTTTCATTATTATATCTTTTATGTTTTTGAAAGAAGTCTCTACTGCTCTCCCAAGGCTGCGTTAATTTGATAAAAAATAGAGTAAAACTGTAATATTGTGAAATATAGCATTTTAAAATTAAGTTTTTCATGTACATGACTGGTCAAAAGTTTGGAATAATTAAAAATAAATTTTTTAAACCGTATTTTATGTCATGTTTCCACAAAAATTGAGCAGCACAACTGTTTCCAACATTGATAATAAATCAGCATATTAGAATGATTTCTGAAGATCATGTGACACTGAAGACTGCAGTAATGATGCTGGAAACTCTCAGCAATCAATTCCATTTTAACATATATTCACATAGAAAACAACCATTTGAAATGGCAATAGTATTTCTCAATATTACTGTTCTTTCTGTATTTTTGATCGAATAAATGCAGCCTTGATGAGCAGAAGAGACTCCTTTCAGAAACATTAAGTCTTACTGATGCCAAGCTTCTGAACAGCGGTGTATATGCCGTTTTCAGTAAGCTCTCTTGGATGTGATCGTTCCTTGTCCAACTTTTTCCCTCTTCTCTCGGTTCAGGTATTAAGCTGACCCTTTCTGCTCTTCTGGATGGGAAGAACGTTAACGCAGGTGGCCACAAACTGGGTTTGGGTCTGGAGTTCGAGGCATAGGAAGCTGAGGATTGCAATAATCCTGACTTTTCTGGATTGATTTTTCTTTTTTTGAATACCTATCCTCACACACCTTTTTTCTCTTAGATGCCCTGGCCAAGGAAGCGCACTATACTCGGTCAAATAATGCATTAGTGATGCTCACTTCTTCAGAGAGAGCAACAGTTGGGTATTTACTAGGTCACACAGAATGAAAGAAGAGCATTTGCAAAGTTATAAATGGCTTGAAAAATGTATTTTCACTACACTCAATGTTATTTATTACAGTGTTGATCATGACAGAATATTTAATTTTTGGGAAGGCGTTGGGTAGAAACGGAGACGTTTACATCAGACAACACTAATATTAGGCCACAACATTCCTGATCTGCGGTTTTCACCCCAGCAAAGCTTGAAGGAAAGGACCCGTATGTAACGGATGACACTCGCAGCCCATCACACCTTTAGTTGTAGACACCAGCCTTTTGGGTGCGTTTCGTGTTTTTGTCTCGTCTGTGTGAGTGAAACCACATGTGTATCTTCTCCATCATTGTTTTCTCGCTGCATACTGCCTGTACCTTTGATGGCAAAACTCTTTCAGCTCTCCCTGAACTAAAGGAGATTGTAAACAAGCTTCTGACATATTGGGGAGAGCAGAAAAGATCTGAATAGGTGGATGTAGTCTTCCGTTTTTAAGTGTAGGATTAGAATACTGTGGATTTAGCAGTATGGGTACTTTCAGTCGAATAAAACATTTCAATCTGGACCACACTACTCGACTGCAGTTTGGTTTCTTACTCCGAAAATCTGTCTTTTTGCATATAATAACTAGTATTTTTTTTCTTAAATGTGCAGTTTTAACATTTTAAAAGGCTGAAGTACATACACAAAGACTTTGGCATTGTGCCATTGTCTACTTTGTTTTTTTTTTTGTCAATGCAAGATGCATACAGTCGCATGTATTCAAGGTGTATGGAAACATACTTCCTTTGCTTTGAACATACTTCCTTTCAAAGAAATCTCCCCTTTTCACAAAAAAAAAAAGTTTATAATTGTGCTGAAGAGCACAAAAAGCTTTATAAACCAAATTAATATCCATTGTATTTATGCCATTGATAAAATCACAGGGCTGGCATGGAGGTATGTTAATTACAATATGAATAGTGTTTTTTATCAATTTATTTAAAATGCTTTAACCCCTTTGGTGCTCCTCTGGTACTTTTTAAAAAAAGTATTTTTTTTTTAAGAAATTTGTACTTTATCGTAAAGGTACAAAAGTTGGTAAATGTTTTGGCACTATGCGAACATGCACAAAATCTCTCTAGACTGGACTATTGTAATGCACTGCTAGGTGGTGTCCTGCATCTTCAATAAACAAGCTACAGGTAGTCCAAAATGCAGCGGCTAGAGTCCTTACCAGGTCGAGAAAATATGATCATATTACCCCAATTTTACAGTCTCTGCACTGGCTACCTATTAAATTCCGTATCAGTTACAATTAGCTCCTGCGTACCTAACTAGTCTTCTACCACGCTACAATCCATCACGCTCCCTAAGGTCACAAAACTGGACTTTTGGTAGTACCTAGGATAGCAAAGTCCACTAAAGGAGGTAATTTGGCTCCCAAACTCTGGAATAGCCTTCCTGATAACGTTTGGGGTTCAGACACACTCTCTCTGTTTAAATCTAGATTAAAGACATCTCTTTAGCCAAGCATACCATATTTTAAGCCTTAGAATACAGTATGCTTGGCTAAAGAGATGTCTTTAATCTAGATTTAAACAGTGTAGTGTGTTTTGGGTACCCTACCCAAAACACACTACAGAAACCCATTTTTTTAATGGCGTTAATAGTTAAAAGTTGATAGTTTGTAATATTTGTAATGGTTTTTGTAGTGGAAACCATTAGAATTTCTGTGATGGTTTCTATTGCTTTACTTCAGCAGGGTAGTAACTGCTAAGACGAAAAATGCATGCCTTTTTTATCACTTGAGTCGCTTTTCAAAAGTTGCTAAAAGTTGCCAAATACATTTTAATAAAAATTGCTACGTTGGCCACGCTGGCTGTTGTCTGCGCATGCGCCCCGATGACGTCAGCGCGGAAGATGGCGGCGGCGCGGAAGACGGGATCCAGAGACTCGGCGATGGGAATATTCGCAGTTTTTCTGTCACTGCAGATCCTTTCTGTGAGCTGCACATCTGTAACGAAAGGTTAGTGGAGGATTTCCCTATAAACATTAACAGCTTGTTCCCTGCGGCCAGTGGTGTCATTTTATTTTTTTGCCAAAAAGAGTTCGTGCTCCGTTGTGAAACTTCGCCTGTCAAGTTAACGTTAAATGAACCCCAAAGTAACGTCACTCTTCAAACGTCTTTCTCATCAAATGACGATAAATGGCACGTTTACATAATGTTACACTCCATAGAAAACTCGCTCAAGACTTCTGTTGATTCTGAGACCGGAAGTCTCGCGCTCTTGTGACGTGGTCAGTTTCTCAACTATTATTTAACTAACTATTATTATTTCTAATAGAATTTATTAGATATTATCTATTTTCTCAGAATGCTGAGATATAAATGAAACAAAATTGAAATCACCTCTTGTTTTTGCTATGGGAAATGCAACCAGTCTGACCAGAAACAGGAATAAAACTTATGAAAAATTATTGACCAGAAGGAGGATATCAAAAGCAGAGGCAGGGAAATCAATCAGTGGTTATGTGAACCAAACTAGGTTCTGAAAGATAATACATAATGATATTAAAGTTGGTTCCTGATTAAATAAACAAATTGGGTAAACATGGGCAAAAATGGGTGTTCCCAGCTGTCTGAGAGAAATGCAAAAGTTGTACATCTGACGTGAATATTAACTGGGTAGTAACTGAACACAGGTAATCTGCATTACGTAATCAGATTCCAAAAATTAAGTACTTGTAATTGGATTATATTACATTTTAAAATACTCGTAATCACACGACGGTTACTTTTTAAAGACACCATATTATTTATTTTTGAAATATAATTTTTATTTGAATTATTTAATCACTAAGTTGGTTATTTAGCCATGTATTACTGTGTCTTTGGAAGGTTTTTGTCTTTCAAACTCAGTTATTTTAAAATAATTTATTTTAATTTTACATTTTTATGATGGAATTATTCATTGAACTCACAAACACCCTGCAGTTCCTTCACGAATCCCGGTTTGGGAAGCCTTGACGTAATGTAATGGAATATATTAACGTAGTACAAGTTTATCCTATTTAAATCAATGTGATAGTTGAGTTGGGTCAAAAGAAATCTAAAAGTAATCAAAAAGTAGTCTGATCAGATTTTGTAATAGATTACGTTACTAACTACAATTTTTGCCATGCAATTTGGAATCAATAATGGACTACAATTTGTAATTTATGTAAAGCACTGGCAACAGCATCACAGTAATTGCTTTTAATGTGGCTTGTTTTTCATCCACAGCTGGTGTGGCTCAGAAGACAGGTGATAAACCCGGAAACGTCACTTTAGCACCCGATAAGAGTGCATCGAGCGTCCAGAACGACAGACGTCCAGACAGTCACTCGGGTCAGGTGACGAATGCAACGCAAGCTCCCGCTATCGTCATCAGCACCAAAGCAGCAGACGCTCCCACCGCTCCACCTACGACTGCTGCCGCAGACCTGCACGAAACCACTCCAAACCAGACTACTATCAAGCCACCAGAGCCCACCAGCACACCTGCAAACAAGCCCACCGCCGTCTCCACCCCTGCAGCTCACAGAACTGAGAGCACCTCGGATTACATGGATGACCGCATGGGCGACGATGATGGTGATAATTTTGGTGAAAACTTCACTGAGCCACCTCAAAACATCGGGGGTGTGACGAAAGACCCTGACAGCCTTCAAAACAAGGACACAAGCATCTACACCCAGGATGAAGACTCCCACTTCTTCTTTCATCTGGTCATCATCGCCTTTCTGGTGGCCATCGTGTACATCACCTACCACAACAAGAGGAAGGTAAGCTTCACTGTAAACGCCATAGTTAATTGCAGTTTATTGAGATCACCGTGATAGTTGCACAAGTTTCAATTTCAGTCACATTTTTCCAATGTAGGCGTGTAAAGAAATGCAACGATTAAATAAAAAATTATTTTGCATGCACCAAAGAAACTTATAATGAGAATCACTTAAAGCAGCACTATGTAACTTTTTCTGTGTTCAAAATGTGCAAACTGTATGTAATGAGCGAGTACATCATGAATTAATCTTCCAAACTGCGTTTTTGTCTCATTCCGAATCACTACGGTACTCTTATAATAAGTACTTATATTCGGACTATTGTAGCCTGGTCGCCGCTGCGGAGTAACACATACCTGCGTGAATCGCCATAGACATAAACTTAGAGAAGTAGCTCCGGTTGGAATGTTCTTCCGCGGGATGGGTGCAGTTCTGTTTATTAACCGCTAGAGTGCCTAAAGTAACATAGTGCTGCTTTTAGGGCTTCTGCAGTTTACTGTCAAAATAAAGAACATAAAAATGACATGATGCATCTTTTGAAAAGTGAAGAAATTACTGCCATAAATATTAGTATTTTACAGTTGTAATGTAAAATGAAATAATTATTATTTTTCTTAAATAATTTCCTAAATACTTGTTTTATTTTACAATAGTAATATTTATTTTGTTTTTCAGTATTTTTTTTTTTTTAATAAAAATTTGTTTAATGATATTTTCTATCCATAGTGAAGATAACATTTTTATGAATTACTTTCACTCAGGGACTAGTTTAGTAAGATTTTACCAGAGAAGATTTTAGAATTTTTATCACGTTAGTCTTGTGTAATTTAAACTGCTGTATTTTTCCAATTTCTTGGTTTTTTTCTTTTGTGTTTATGTAATTGTTGTATTATTGCAACTGAAAATAGCCTTGGATGCTGACATGGTGATACAAATAAATAACTATTACTATATCCGTAGTGAGATATAATCACACATTTTTGACCAAAATTGTGCAGCCCCACAAACAAGCAAAGCAAAAAAAAAAAAAAAGTTTTTAAATGCCATTTTAATTTGCAATTTCAAAAAAGAAAGTATATTAAAGTAAATTAACTTAGATACTCTTCACATTTTATTCCCATAATGTTATGACAGTTTTTCCCCGTGGTATCGAAAATGGTGTTAAATATCAATATTTTTTTAATGTCAAGGTATTGCATCAAAGTTAGAAGTGTTAGTATCGTGACAATACTGGTTCACATATACAGTGGTGGCCAAAATGATTAGAACACTAGTATTTCCAGCAGCTTAAAATGGTTCCAAGTCAGTTATTTCTATGTTTTGCTGTAGTGTGTCAGTAGGAAATATCAGTTTACATTTCCAAACATTCATGACACACTACAGCAAAACATAGAAATAACTGACTTAAAACCATGTTTAGCTGCTGGAAATATTGTGTTCTAATCATTTTGGCCACCACTGTACATGCATATAAGATCACGCAGTATGTAAAATGAAGGAGATGAAAGGCACATAAATGAGCATTGTTTCTGTCAGAGGCAGGCGTATCGTGTGAATGATCTGTCGTCATGATGGACCTCTGCTCTGTGTTTGCAGCTGATGCTGCTGGCTCAGAGTCGCCGCTGGCGGGACGGTTTCTGCTCGCGCGGGGTGGAGTATCACCGGCTCGAACAGAACGTCAACGAGGCCATGCCCTCGCTCAAGATGACCAACGATTACATCTTTTGAAGAAATGCAAACAGCTGATTTTGTCCACACATTATGTCTTATTTAATCAGGGGAGGAGAGATTGTGCTTTAGTAGTGTGTTTGTGTGCACTCTTCAGAAGGTCTTCGGTTCTGCTTCTTGTTTTCTTCGGTGTCTATAAAAGCAAACGGTTTTGCTCTACTTTTAATCATTTTTGAAGGAAAGCAAATGAAGGTCTGTCTCTGTAAATATTTGATTATAAACCTGCTGTCTGTCACGTATAAGCCTAGAATAAGATACGGATGATTATTTCGAGTCGTGTTCAGCTCAGCTCATACGAAGCCATGCTAACTCCAGAACAGCGTTAGATGTGTGTGTTTGCTTTGCAGCTGCTTTGGGCTGGTCGCCTTTCTGTTTGTGTTATGACTTCAGTGAAGTTGTTTTATAGGAGCCGGGTCCACCGTTGCCAAAGCTCAGGAGATTTATGGGAAATTAGCGTGCAACTGTTTTTATTCACTGCTTTAAGCATTGCCCCATCTCAACACGACTGTAGCAGCAGCAGCCACAGGCGTCGTATATCAGTATGTGTGTGCAAATCTGCTTCAGCTACAACACAGGTTTCAAAAAGGTGGAAAATATCCAGTAAATTTCGGAAACATTCCAGGATTTTTTTTGAATATTCCAGGGATTTTTTTGGAAAGTTTCCGGAAATTTACCGGAAATTTTCCACCCCTTTGCAACCCTACTAATAACACACATTGCAGCATCTTCATCTCTGATTTCCAGCAGAGCACATGAAGGTTGTGTCTGTGCATGAAGACAGCATATTGATTTCCTCTTCAATCAGTATAAATTATGTTCATCAATAAAGCACCTCTGTATGCACAGAGTCACTGAGTGTCTCTTTTATTGTGATATTGGATTTTGTTGCACTTTATTACACATGCATATCAACAAATGATTCCATATACATCAGCTTTTTTTGTTTTAGAGCACATTCAGCCATATGTTTGTATGTATTTATTGATTTATTGAGGTGTTGAATTGCGTGTGTGTGAGGAGCCACTGGAGGGCAGAAGAGTCCAAGAAACAAGTTTGCTTTGATCAGGCGACTAGATACTGTATAAAGAGCAGGACTATAAAACCTTCTGACCAATACATTTCCATAACTTCTCCAGTCATCTGTGAAAAATCTATATAATATAGATATTGCAAACAAATAGTTAGCTGATAAAATATAAAGCTGTTAGTATTCACTCCAGAAATGTATTTATACAGTACTTTTCCAAAATGTTCATTTAAATGACTTTGTCAGGCCTGGAAATCACAACTTTTAAGATGTGACCGTCGGACCCCTGATAAATCTGGATTCTTAATTTTAAGTCTGGTATATTGTGTATAGTATGATACTGTATACAGTATAGTTGGCTATCAATCTCTGTCTATTAGAATCATATACTTGTATGTTACATTTTACTTCATACTTTTCAATGTGGAAGGAACAATGAAATATTGAGCTGAACTTTATCTTCATCACAGCTAAAGATAAAGGTCATGTTTATCTGTTAGTTATTTTTTTTAGGTTGTAGCTAAACACTGCAGTCAGGGAAATAGGACATTTTTGTGTTCGTAGACAAGGGATGAAGTAGTCAGAAATACTGATTTGAGTTTGAATAATTTTATAACACAAGAAGAAATGGAGAGTGGAGTTAAACGAGAGACAGCTATCTATTAAATCAATTTCCTTTAACTGGCTTTGTACAAAAATATTTGACTGCAGAATGACACCGTTGTCACCACAGAGATCCTTCCTCTCTCTTCTGAACGCATGCATCAGACAAACGTGTTCTCTACATTAAAGGGACAGTTCAGCCACAAATGAAGACGTGCTGAAAATGTACTCGTCCTCAGATCATCTGAGATGTAGATGAGTTTGTTTCTTCATCAGGTTTGGAGAAATGTAGCATTGCATCAGTGTCTCAGCAATGGATGCTCTGCAGTGAATGGGTGCCGTCAGAATGAGAGTCCAAACAGCTGATAAAAACTTCACAATAATCCATAAAGATTTGTAAGTAATCCACAAGCTTTAAACAAGTTAGTTTAAACAAATCCATCATTTTGTAAACTTCAAACCGTTGCTTCTGGCTTAAATACGAGTCCATAATCCATAATAACGCTTCCTCCAGTGAAAAGTGGTCTGGTCTGAATCAGGAGAGAAATCTGCACAGATCAGTCCAAAACAGCTCTAAACAAAGACATGTTTGGATTTTGATGTGAGAGACGGAGATGGACCTTTTCACTGGAGGAAGCATTATTATGGATTATGGACTCATATTTTAGCCAGAAGCGAAGTTTAAATTTCTTAATAATGGATTTGTTTCTTACAAACATTCAACTTTTGTCTTCTCCAGATGTTAACTGATGGACTGGAGTGCTGTGGATCACTTGTGGATTATTGTGATGTTTTTATCAGCTGTTTGGACTCTCATTCTGACGGCACCCATTCACTGCAGAGCATCCATTGCTGAGACACTGATGCAGTGCTACATTTCTACAAACCTGATGAAGAAACAAACTCATCTACATCTTGGATGCCTTAAAGGGATACTCCACCCCAAATTGAAAATGTTGTCATTAATCACTTACCCCCATGTCGTTCCAAACCCGTAAAAGCTTAATTCGTCTTCGGAGCACAATTTAAGATATTTTGGATGAAAACCGGGAGGCGTGTGACTCCCATTGACTGCCAAGCAAATTACACTGGAACGACATGGGGCTAAGTGATTAATGACAACATTTTCATTTTGGGGTGGAGTATCCCTTTAAGGGAGAGGACATTTTCATTCATTCAGGCTCATTTTTGGGTGAAATGAGATTACTAATATCCTACAACATTAAAAGGCAGGAAGTGTCATTTATTATAAATAAAATAGTGCAATATAAAATATTTAAATATTATTAAATAAAAACAACAAAACCACTCTGAATTCACCTAAAGTTTTATTTGTAATCTAAAAGGTAATTATGCTTTGTTTATGTACACCTAGGGGTTGCATTTAATTTATCATTATCACATAACTACGGGGGCCGGTCTCAGGTTTGATCATATGTAAGGAGGGGGACTTCAGAGACGAGAGGTGGGGAAGCACTGCTCTTGGAAGACCAAGACATGAAACACTGAATCAAGACCTGAAGCCAGTGGGTGCATCTCCTGTCTGGAGGGCACGAGGGCCAGCTTTCATCTGCCGCAGGCCCTGTCTGACATCTCCGGGCCCTTTGCATGGCCCTTAATGAGATCATTCATGTCCCACAATACATCTGCCGGGATGCAGGAAATTGCTTTCCAGCCGGAGCAGTATCTGCTGATGGGGGCTTGATTGTGGTCAGGTGAAAAAAAGGCCACAAGACGAGTGATGGAGAAACAACACAAATAGCCCGGTTTGATTTAGAGAAATAGGCTCTGATAAAACACCATGTAGAGATTTCTGATGTTTTCTTTCACTTCCAGTGTCTGAGTGGAATCTGATAAATCAAAGTGTTTTATTCGTTCTAATCAGAGCCGGATCTCCAACTGAGTCATCCACATTTGTTCTTTAACAATTGGCGATACCAGTGCGTCTTTTGTTTTTGTAAAATGCAGCTTTTTTTAAACTTTTTTTCTACTGTTTGAATGTTGCTGGAAGGCGAGTTTTAAAGATGATTTAAACATTTTAAAATCATTTGATGTTTGTGTGCAGTGGTCAGGTTTTAGAAACATTTTATTTCAGAAACTTATTTTATTTCCATTTTACAATAAATTGACTAAAGGCTGAGAAACAACACAAATAGCCCGGTTTGATTTAGAGAAATAGGCTCTGATAAAACACCATGTAGAGATTTCTGATGTTTTCTTTCACTTCCAGTGTCTGAGTGGAATCTGATAAATCAAAGTGTTTTATTCGTTCTAATCAGAGCCGGATCTCCAACTGAGTCATCCACATTTGTTCTTTAACAATTGGCGATACCAGTGCGTCTTTTGTTTTTGTAAAATGCAGCTGTCCAGCTAACAAAGATTAGTCAATAGATGCAAATATTTACAGTGTCTCTTTTTTTTAAACTTTTTTTCTACTGTTTGAATGTTCCTGGAAGGCGAGTTTTAAAGATGATTTAAACATTTTAAAATCATTTGATGTTTGTGTGCAGTGGTCAGGTTTTAGAAACATTTTATTTCAGAAACTTATTTTATTTCCATTTTACAATAAATTGACTAAAGGCTTCCAAGTCTGACACTTCTCTAACCTTTCCTTCAAAAAACTGAAAATGTCAGAAAAGTCAAAATTTGCCAAACATCTATATAATATAGATTAGATTGATTCTTGCTGGCACTTTAGCGTCTTTCTGGTTGCTGGGCTTTTGCATTAGTGTGCACTCTCACGTCTTAGGTGAATGGGTGCCGTCAGAATGTCCAAACGGCTAATAAAAACCAGAAGCTACGGTTTGAAGTTAGACATGTCTTAAGGATGGATTTGTTTCAGCTTTTGGCTTCACGAGATGTTAACTGATGGACTGGAGTGCTGTGGATTACTTGTGGATTATTGTGAAGTTTTTATCAGCTGTTTGGACTCTCATTCTGACGGCACCCATTCACTGCAGAGCATCCCTTGCTGAGACACTGATGCAATGCTACATTTCTACAAACCTGATGAAGAAACAAACTCATCTACATTTTTGATGGCCTGAGGCTGAGTACATTTTTAGCATATGTTAATTTTTGTGTGAACTATTCCTCTAACAAATTGGATAGCTATCTGATCAGAGAAAACACATGAAGTAGTCAAGTGTAAAAAGGCCCACACGTCCTGAGGTGACAGCAGAAATTTATGTGATGTATATTTCAAAATGTTTGATAACTGTCATATTTAAAAATGTGTAATAATTATAAGAAAAACCTGAGACCAATCAATCGCAGTCAGAATGCAAGTGGTTGTGTCCTCTGGCGGCGAGGTTGAGAAATGGCTGAGTTGCATTGATGCAATAAAGATGATATTTGCTTGCGGTGGGAGCATTGCATTCATTTTCCTTTGATTCATTTCAGAAGCGCTGCACTGAAGTGTTGTTTTAGTCATTAAAGTTTCAGCATCGCCTGCATGACTCGCAAGTTCTGAGAAACCCAACTCAGCATCTTATGAGTCATTCTATAATTTAGTATACATTTCACATCAGGACAAAAGTGTAAAAACAATATGCTTTCTTAATGAATCAACTACTGGTTTCAGTTGATGTATTTTTATCAGTGTAACTTGTCTGCTAGTTGCCAAGCTTAATCATTACACACAATTTTGATATTACAAGAAAAAGATGTTTTCCCAGGCGGTGAGTTTACAGTCTCACCATTTTGACTCAAAATTTCAATGCCAGGTCTTGTTTGGCCAACCAGATGTTATTTTCTTAATCAGGTTAACCTCAAATTTCAAATATTTGAATTAAAAATATTGCAAATCATAAAAATGTACCGGTTAATGTGCTCAAAATGTCCACTGAAGAAAATGACTGGTCACATGGTTTTATGATAAACCATTTTTTTTTGGTCATTTTCAGTGTTTGGTTAGTAACATTTGACCATTTTTGAGAACATGAGAAAAATGAAATATTTTCTTATTTGAAAGAAAATTTATTTTTAACCCTATTTTTCTAAGGCATTTGGATTGTAGACATACATTTAATATAGCTATACATAATCTTGACCTGAACCTTTTTTATTTATTATTTTGAACTCAAGACTACATTTAGTATTGCATTTAGTAATTTAGCAGATGCTTTTATCATTTAAAAAGCAGACATTGGAAAAACTGCAATTTAAGGGACATAAAGACAATATCAAGCAAATTGAAAAACAGCATGCGCAAAA